GGGAGGGGGGTGTGGTGTGGTGTGGTGTGGTGTGGTGTGGGGTGTGGTGGGGTGTGGTGTGGTGGGGTGGGGTGTGTGGTGGGGTGTGGTGAGGTGGGGTGTGGTGGGGTGGGGTGTGGTGGGGTGTTTGTGTGGGGCTTTTATTGTGCGCCTCCTGCTCCTCACGTCTCACGAAGGATGCATCAATTGGAGTCGGGAGAGAGGCGGAAGTCCTCCTCAATCTCGACCATGAGTTGCTTTCAGTGTAGATCGACCGTCTGCAAGGGTAGTACTCATTGGACACATTGCGGCCTCCGGATTCATATAGTAAGTGGTACCCTTCTTCCTTTCTGTCTCAAAACAACACTCTGCGGCGTTGGGTCGGCGTTGCTCTCTGGCGAGTACAGACCACGCCTCACTTTTTTACAGGGGGGGGTCCGTCTGGTTTTCGCTGCGCATGCTCGAGCCCTCGGCGAGGGCTTGTGCTGTGAATACGCAGGCGTGGTCAAGGTCTGTACTCGCCAGGGCGTTGCTCACTTCAAGCCCCGATGCGCGATGGCAGCGCACCTGCTCGAGATCGACGCGTCCGAGGCTTGCCGCTCCGGCCCTGGTTTGAGACGCTCGCGCGCGAGCGTGACACTGGTCACTGCACTGGCCACTGGGCCGGAGTGCCACTGCGCTGCGTGGGCGGCCGGCGGCTTCGGCGCGCGGGTGTGACGAGGAAGCTCGAGGCGGGACACATGAAGACGGAGGGACGAACGTTCAAATGAAACTCCGAAAATGAACATGTCCCTAAATAAATCTCATCTATCTCAGAGTTTGACTGTTGATTTACGCGGTTGTTAGTTCGAGCCCTGGCTGTTCTGCACCTTCTCCACCTTCAAACACGTAAAAACTTTTCCGCTCGAGCGTCACTAGGACTGAAAAAAGAATTTTACGAGGAAAAAGAAACTTCAAAAGCGGCGTGGCAGCTTCATCACACAAGAGGACCAAATCGCGCCGCTGTCGCTTCCTCGAACCGCGGCCTTTTCTCTACTACCTCGATGGAGCCTCCGCTGCCGCCGGACCGGCCTAAGCCCTCGCACGACTACGTCAAGGAGCAGCGAGCGAAGCTAGCACCGGCGGAGAAGGCTCGTTGGAGAAAAACTTCACTGGTGGCGGTGCACACTCCTCGACAGCCAACCTGCGAGTAGGCGCCACAGACGTGCGATGTCGCACTCTGCATCAATGCGGGCGGACTGCTCCCTCCCGCGGCGATGTTCGGTGCCGCCCAGCGACTGTCTGCCCCATCGGAAAGAATGCTGACGCTTCCCCTCGCTTCAGGCGTGTACCGCGGCTTGGCCAAGATCAAAATGACGCCGCGCAAGCCGAAGTGCGACAACGTGCTTGACAATTTCGACGTGATCGGCGGCGCTTCGGGCGGCACCATCGCGGCGACGATGTACTGCTACTCCAAGAGCAAGCCATCCACCTTCCTGGGCACGGACGATCCGGACCCGACCAAGATCACCGAGGCGAAGATGGAGGCTGAGCCCGCGCCCTACGGCAAGATGCTCACCAAGCCCGCACTCTGCTGCCCTCTGAGCACGTGCTGCCTACCTGTTGCCGCGTGGGCCTTGATCGACACAGTCCTCGGCACTCCCATCCGGGCCCTCGGCTGCGGCAAGTGGGTCGGCTGCGGCTGCTATCCATGCGCCACGGGCTTTGGTCTCGCCTTTGTTGAGTTCATGTTCGCCAACTTTATCTACCCACTCGGCATCTCCAGGGGCTCGACCGACCCACCATCGCGTCCGGAGGCTCCTCTTACCGGCCCCGCTATCGCCTCCTCCTCCACCCCCTATCACTCTGCCGCCGCTGCGCCCTGCCGCCGCTTACCTCACGTCTCTGCTTCACGCCATTTGCGTATGGGCAGGCGTATGGGCAGGCTCCGACCCCGCTCGGCCTCGCCACCATGGGCTCGCTCGCAGACGTCGCTCCTAAGGACTACCTCGGCATTGTCAGCGATTGGATGGTTGGGGCTTGGAAGAAAGTCTTCCACGACGACGGCATCGTCAGCGATTGGATCCCGGGGGTCAAGCAGTTCGACACGGTCAGCGTGGATGTCGAGGTGAAGGGCGAGAAGGAGAGCCTCACGCTGGGCCGCCCGCTCAAGACCGGCCTCGAGTACCAGTGGGCTGACGGCCAGTCCGGCAACGCGCGGGGCCTTACCTTTGTGCAATACGTCTTCACGCCGCACTCCGCTGCGACGGTGGCTGCCTCTCCTTGGCCCGCCGCCCAATATCTATCCCAATATCTATCCCATAACTCAGGCACTCGCAGCCAACGGCGGCGATCCCCTCACGGCCCTAGCCCGCCTCCCCTATCCTTCAAAGCGCCCTCCCTCGCGCACGCGCGCAGAAGTACGAGCCCCTCCCGCTCGGGGCCTCCAACTTCGACGACAAGCAGATGTACCTCCCGCAGAAAGGCTGTGGCCCCTGCCTCACGCAGCAGCGCACCGCGCTCTTCGACGCAACGAGCGTTCCGGCGCAGTCCTTCGTCCTTCCGCCCGCGTGCAAGCCCTTCGGCCAGCCGCCGACGGCGCGCCATCTGTCGCCGGAGGCGGTCCTCGCCATGAGCGGAGACTTCGGCGGCGCTGCGGGCTTCGTGAACGTCCTTCCGCGTCTCTTCCGCCCCTTCGACTTGACGCTCCGCATCAAGACGGCGGAGCAGCCGGGGAACGAGGAGACTTGCTTCTTCGCGGACGGGGGCGTGATTGACACCACCGCCGTCACCGCCGTGGTCGCAAAGGGCGCGCGAAAGGTCGTGGCGGTCATCACAAACCTCGGGCGGGCCCCTTTCGGCCCGAAGGGAAACCTGGAGGTGAACAACGGGAACATTGGATCCCTCCTCGCCCTCTTCGGTGCAACACCCACCCCAAGGGAGTTGCTGGCCGGGCCAAACGTCACGCCCAACGGAAAAGGCATTGGGCCAACCATCATGAACCAAATCTTCAACAACAACGAGGCACGCCGTCAAGCCCCCCCCCTCCCCCCCCTTTGCCCTGAGCTTCGCCCGCGCGCACAGGAAAGCTTCGACGTGAACGGCACCGCGAAGCTGGTCTCGCCGCAAGAGGTAGCCAGCTTCCAGGGCATGCGCCCGCTCGACTGCCTCGTCTACCAGATGAAGGAGTGCTACAAGAGCGGCGAGCCCCTCGTGGCCACCCTCAAGGCGCGCAGTCGTGGCCACCCTCGCCCCCCCCCCCCCCCCGCCTCGCACCCCTCTGGGCCTGTCGTCCCGTGGCAGGGGCTCAAAGTCATCGACAACCCGTACCACGGCACGCACTTGTCGCAAGAGAACGTCGACCTTACCGTCCTTTTCTACGCGCCGCCCAAGCGCTGGATGGACCTGATCAACCGCAACCCGGAGCTCAACCCCGAGGCGATGGCGTACTGCAGCGAGTACCCCGACGCGGACGCTGTTGTCACGGGGATGAAGCCGCTCGGCCTTTACAAACTAGGGGGAGACCCTCCCTATTCCCCGGCCAAGCACAACATGTTCGACGAGAAGAACGGCAAGGCTCCGTACAAGAACTTCCCCGACGGGAAGGGCCTCTCCGAGAATGTGCTTCCCGTGAAGGCCCTCTCCTTCCCGATGGCCAACCTTTTCGGCTACTGTGGCGACTACATCGTCCAACGCTCGCCCCTCCTCGATCGACTCTTCACGTCGGAGCCGTGAGGTGCACGGCGGCGCCAACCGCTCGCCAGCGAGGGGTCCCTGATGCG